CTCCACCCCTGCCCCCACCCCCACTTCTGCCCCAGCCCCTGCACAGGTCAACCCAAGATAACTGTTCTCTCCTCGCCAATGCCACCATCCACAACCACGCGTGAAACCTCGCAGGGGTCTTTAGGCCAGGCTTCAGTGATCTCTACTACTGTAAAGGAGGTCCCTACATTCACTGCTTTTGCTCACAAGAAATTCCTCTGGCCATTTTGACCATATTTCCTAGTGTCGGCTCTCCCTGCAGGCTACCCGGTGCCCTCAGAGGTCATCTCATCAAGGTTACTGCCCCCCTCAGCAGCCACAGCCTCAGTGTCCCCACCAGCCCTCCCCACACCTGCCCTTCCCCCACCACAGCCACAGTGGGGGTGGGATGGGCCTGGGGGAAGGAAGAGAGATTGAGTCGCCACCACCATCCTGTGTGCACCTCTGTAGAAACTCCCAGGGCCACCCAAGACCATCATGGGAGGACAGAGAGACAGAGCCACAAGGGGGACCCTGACCTCAGAGACACCAAAACCAACACTTCCCTCGGTATTTCCCTGAGGTCCTCTCCACAGGGCCAGATGCCACCCCAACACCCACCCTGCAGGCGCCCCTGCCCACTCAGTGGCCCTGTGTTATGGCCCAGGCTGTCATGCTCCCCAGGCCCTGAATGGGAAGCGCCTCCCGGGAGCTTGGGATACACAAGGCTGGCTCAGTTCCCTACCCAATGCCTAGCCTGGGAGTCCCTCCCAAGGGCTGGGAGCCTTGACCTCAGGGCTGCAAGTGAACTATGGGACGTGGGAGAAGATTGCATCTCAGTTCAACAGTGAGCAAGTTTTTAGCAGAGGTGTGGTCCGGAGGTCACAGACCCGTTCACCTACATCTCCGTGTGACTGTGGGTCCCATGGTGCTGCTGTGAAATCTGCCCCCCATCCAACTGGACCTGACCCCATCAGGAACCAATCCCAATCAGCCCCCAGGCTGACAGGAAGAGAGCCACCTTGGGGTGCCCTCCTGGGCTCCAGGGGCCCCAACTCTGCTCCCAGAAGGCCTTGGGGCATTCTTTCTCAGTGGATCCTCACCCCAGGCTCCTTCCCAGACCAGGCCAAGCTCAAAACAGAAGATCTCGAGGGTCCTGCCCTGCATTTTACAGATGAGGAAATTGAGGCTGGCAAGCTAAAGGGCCCCATCCAGCTGGGCAAGGTGCTTCGGTGGCAAGGCTGAGCCCAGAGCCTGGGGCCCCTCTGCCTGTCCACTGCACAGACCACTGTGGTCTCTTTCCTGACCCCACACCGCTGGGCACTGGGCCTCTGCTTGGAGGGAGTTTCCCAAGTGCTCCGTTGCTTGGCTTTTTCCCAACTGTGGAAGCATACACATAATATAAGATATAGCTTCTGACCCATTTTTAAGCACACAGCTCCTGTGGTTCTAACTACATTCATATTGTTGTGCAACTGTCCCCACTGTCCATCTCCAGAACTTTCTCATCTTCCCAAATTGAGCCTCAGGGTTCACTAAACACTCACTCCCCAGCCCCCGACCAGCCCCAGGAACCCCCATGGTACTTTCTGCCTCTGAACCTGAGGACTCCAGAGACCTCCTGTGAGTGGATACAGTACCTGCCCTGTGACTGGCTGATGCCACTCAGCATAACATTCTCAGGGTTCCTCCATGATGAGGCATGTGCCAGAATCTCCTTCCTCCTCAAGGCTAACTAATGTCCCATCGTGTGAATGGACTGCACACGGCTTTTCTGCTCACCTGCCAGTGGACACTAGCATCACTGCTTCCTCTTGGCTGTTGTGAATCTGCCGCTGTGAACAGAAAGTGCTGTTGTTTCTTACAGACCCTGTGCTCAGTTCTTCTGGGTCAATACCTGGAAGTGTAATTACAGGATCATCTGGTAATTGTATTTTTTTTAAAGTTCCATCTTGTTTTCCTCAGCAGCTGCAGTTTTTTATTTCCACCAGTGCACAGCATTCCGGTTCTGCCATATCCTCACCAGCACTTCTGATTTTTGTTGTGTTGTGTTTTGATGGCAGCCATCTCAGCGGTGTGAGGCTGCCTCTCCCTGTGGTTCTGATTGCGCTTCCCAAACACAGAGTGACAATGGCATCTTTCCAGTGCCTGTTGCACTTTTCTGTCTTCTGTGGAGAGATGTCTGTTTACATCCTTTGCCCATCTTGACTGGATAATTTGTGTTCATGTTGTTAAGCTCTAAGAGTCTCCAGATCTTCTTGATGTCACCCTTATCTGTGGTGGGATGTGTGGAATCTTCCTGCTGCCCACAAGTGGCCCTCCACTCCATCGACTGCATTTTTGATACACAAAAGTTTCTAGCTTTTATGTAATGGTTTACCTATTTTTTCTTTTATGACCTGTGCTTCTGCTATGATGTCCAAGAGCTCATTGCCAGATGCAATGCTGTGGAGTTTTCATTTTCTGTCTTTTTCTAGGAGTTGTATAATTTCAGCTCTTACATTTTGATCTGTGATCCCTTTGGGCTCATTTTGTGAATAGCGTTGGGTAAGTGTCCACCCTCCTCCTTTGCAAGTGGGTGTCCAGTTTTCCTGACACCTTTAGTTCAAGAGGCTGTCCTTACCCACTGATGGCCTCCGCACCTGTTGATGGTCACTTGGTCATATGTGAGGGTTTATTCCAGGCTCTCTGTTCCAGTCCCTAGTCTCTGTCATTGTGCCAGGACCACACCGTAACTTTGTGGAAAGTCTGGAGATCAGAACATTTGAGGTCTCCAACTTTATTCTTTTTTTCCAACATTGTTTTGGCCATTCAAGATCCCTGGAGATTCCACCTGAATTTTAGGACAGACTTTTCTATTTTCAAAAAAGCATTAAACTTCAAAAGGGATGGCACTGAATCTGTAGGTCACTTTGGATCTTGATCTCTTGTGATGTAAAGTCTTCCAGTCCATGAGCACAGGACGTCTCCCTGCACCTCCCCGAGCCAGCATCTCTCTGTCTCTGTGCCTGTCTCCCCCTGATTCTGAGCCCATGTCTCTTTCCCTATCTCTGCATCCATGTCTGTCTCTACACCTGTGTCTCTCTGTCTCTGAACCCATGTCTTTCTGTCTCTACCCTTGTGTCCCTCTGTCTCTGCATCATGTCTCCCTGTCTCTGTGCCCATGTCCCTCTGTCTCTGTGCCCATGTCCCTCTGTCTCAGCACCCATGTCCCTCTGTCTCGGCACCTATGTCCCTCTGTCTCTACACCTGTGTCTCTCTGTCTCTGCATCCATGTCTCCCTGTCTCTATGGCCATGTCCCTCTGTCTCTGCACTCATGTCCCTCTGTCTCTACACTTGTGTCTCTCTGTCTCTGCACCCAGGCCCCTCTGTCTCTACACCTGTGTCTCCTCATCTCTGCGCCCATCTCTGCGTCGTAGGTGCCGTGGTCATCGCCTTTGTGGTCTGTTGGCTGCCCTACCATGTGCGGCGCCTCATGTTCTGCTACATCTCGGACGAGCAGTGGACCCCGTGAGTGCCAGGAGGCCGGGCCCCAGGGGGGTGCCCCTGAAAATGGGGGGGTGTAGTGGGTGCTGCCCTGAGGACCAACCCAAGGTAGAGGTGTGGCTAGTCCCCGTCCACAAGGCTTCTGACAGGTGTGTGCTGGGACCAAGCAGAACTGTGGCGGGAGGCTCAGGGCAGGCGCTTAGCAGGACAGGCTGGGGCAGAGACGGAGAGTCAGTCCCAAGCCAGGTCAGAAAGTTTCCCAAAGATTGAAGAGATTCAAAGGAGGGGCATCAGGGCTAAGGAACATACCCTCCCGTGGCCACCATTGGGACCAGAGTCACCCAGGGTGGACTCACAGGACTGGGCCTGGTGTCACACCCAGGGTGGTGGTTTATTACAGCAAGTGGACATACAGCAAAGTCAGCCAAGGAGAAAGACTCGTGGGGGAAGTCGGGGAGACCAGATGTGGCTTCCAGAGGTACCCAGTCTCTCAGGATGTAAGAACTGGGCACAGGGCACCCACTGCCTGCCCCACACCAAAATCCCAGGATCCTGAAGAGAAAGCAGGTGTCCATCTGTGCCCTTCTATTTGCACAAACAGCACAGGCACTGTTTCTGAAACCCCTTTTACCAGAAACAGTAGTGTCCCCCACTTCCCAGTTCCCTGGCACCAGCTTGCCAGCTGGGCATTCAGAGCCTCAGGCCCTCATCAAGCTCTTCTGCATAGCAGGGCAGCCAGACCCAAGGGTGAAAGGTTCTTCAGAGTAACAAGTAGCCACTGGGGAGGCACCCAGGTGGTGACAGGAGTCACAGAGAGCCCAACGCAGCTCCCACAAAGTCTTCTGAGGTTCAGGGCAGCCCAGGGTGAACTAAGAGGCCTAGTGATGGAGTGAGACTCCCATAGGTGGAGGCAAGCAAACAGAGAGCAAGATACACAGCTGTCAGGAAGCTTCGCAGGGTCCCTGTCCTGTCCATGAGTTAGGTCTGGGACCAGCCAGGACCTGCACCCTCAGATGGATGGGACTCTGAGAGCCAGGCCAGGTGCCTGCAGGGAGAGGCAGGGAGGGGCCAAAGCAGGGAGATCGCGCCCTGCCTAGAGACGGCCGATGCCTGGCAGCAGCATGGCCAGAATTACAGCTGCTCAGAAGCCAGACGGGGGTTTAGTATGAAGTATCCCCACAAGAAAAGGTTCTCCCACTGCGCCAGGCTGCCACACCCAGCAGTGACTGTCCTGACCATGGCCTCTGACTCCGTGGCCACAGCCTGAGTACCTCTCCCCACCAGGTTTCTCTACGATTTCTACCACTACTTCTACATGATGACCAACGCCCTCTTCTATGTCAGCTCCACCATCAACCCCATCCTGTACAACCTTGTGTCTGCCAACTTCCGCCAGGTCTTCCTGGGCACCCTGGCCTGCCTGTGCCCCATGTGGCGGCGCCAGAGGCGGCGGCCGGTGCTCTCCAGGAAGGCCAATAGTGTGTCCAGCAGCCACACCTTCAGCAACGCCACCCGCGAGACGCTGTACTAGGCCCCAGGCCACCCCATGGTCTTGCCCCAAAACTCAGAGCAGTCCCACCCGGAGTCGATGACAGGGTCCGGCTGGCCCAGGCTGGGGCCTGAGGAAGGCCTCAGCCCTGTTTCTTCTCAGCTTCTCTCCTGCCTTCCCTTCCCCTCCCCCCTACCTCCCCACTCCCTTCCCCATCCCACCCCTCACTCCCCATCATCTCTTCTTTGAAAGCAAAATGAGAGATTACTCCTCTCCCAGACCTGAAAGGCCCTCAACAGGAGAGATTAGAGCTCAGGGAGAGGTGGCTTCTTTGTTCCCAGACTAATGGGTGTTCAGAGGGAGAGATGAAAGGAACTGGGCTGGGCTGGAGCATCTGGGCGGGCGTGATGGCGACGGCAACTCAGAGCCCCCTGACAGGGCCCAGAGCTCCTGGGCCATCATGACCCTGACCACATCTCAGATCCCCACAACAGGGTCCCAGGCAGCTGGGCTGGCGAGACTGGGACTGGAGTCCCACAACAGGGCCCCGGCCTGCTAGGCCATCCTGATGGTGATGACATCTCAGAGCCCTGCAACAGGACTCTGGGCAGCTGGGCAGGCAGGATGGTGACAGCATCTCAGAGACCCATGAGCGGGGCTGCAGCTGTCCCAGCCCACCAGATGAAAGAGAGCAGGGCCTCGTCCAGAGGCTCCATCCAACCTCCACCACCTCTGTCCATTCAGTCAAGTCAAGTCCAGGTACAGCAGCACCAGAACTCTGGGCCTCACATCCAGACCCTTCCCTGCTGGCCAGTACTCCACCTCCCTCAAGGCTGTACTAAGGAAGCTCCATGATCTCAACTGGGGCTAGGGGGCCCGTCCTCACCACCCTATCCCAGACAGCCACAGCCCACAGAGGACCAGCTCCACATACCCACAAGGATGAAAAGGTCAGCTTGGGATTGCCTAGAGCCCAGCCCCCCCTACTCCTATGGTCCTCCCCAGGCCATGCTGGTACTCTGCCAGGACACTGTGTGCAAGGGGACTGGAGCTTAGCTCACAGTCCTCCATTGCAGCCCCCCAGGCCCTGCCTTGTTCCTGCCAACCTGGTCATGGCCAGGACAGAGGTGAGTGCCCGGATACTCCTCTGTGACTGCCAGGCTCTAAGCTGGCTTTGGGGAGCACTCCAAGAAGGGGGACATCAGCTAGGGGTGGTGGAGCCCAGTCTCCCAGGAAGATGCCAGGTGCCAGAGAACAGGCCACAGATGAAGAGGGAGGCACCCACCAGGCAACTGGCTGGCCAGCAACCAGGACTGAGCAAAGACCCATTTGTCATCAGCAGGCCCAGCCCTGGCTCCAGGTGCCAGAAAAGTAGGTGCTTCCTGGGTCTGAGGAGGAAGCTTCCAAATGAACCAGGGGCTCCTAGGCAAGGAGGTGCTAAGCCAGGAAGGATCAGATGATAGGTGGGATCCTGGGTGAGGAGGTGCTGAGCCAGGAGAGGACAGGTGATGGGGGAATCCTTGGTGGGGAGGTGCTGAGCCAGAAGGGGATAGGTGACACGGGGATCCCAGGTGAGGAGGTACCAAGACAAGAGGGGACAGTGACAAGGGGGATCCCAGGTGAGGAGGTGCCGAGCCAGGAGGGGGCAGGTAATGGGGGGGATCCCGGGTGAGGAGGTGCTGAGACGGAGGGGGCAGTGATGGGGAGGATCCCAGGTGACATGGTGCCGAGCCAGGGGGGACAGGTAACAAGGGGATCCCGGATAAGGAGGTGCTGAGCCAGAAGGGGACAGATGACAGGGGAATCCGAGGTGAGGAAGTGCTAAGACAGGAGGGGACAGGTGATGGGGAGATCCTAGGTGGGGAAGTGTCGAGACAGGAAGGGGCAGGTTACAGGGGGGATCCCAGGTAAGGAGGTGCTGAGCCAGAAGGGGACAGGTGACAGAGGGGATCCCAGGTGAAGAGGTGCTGAGTCAAGAGGGGGCAGGTGACAAGGGGAATCCCAGGTAAGGATGTGACAAGCCAGGAAGGTACAGGTGATAGGAGGTCCCAGGTGAGGAGGTGCCGAGACAGGAGGGGACAGGTGACAGGGGAATCCTGGGTGAGGAGGTGCTGAGTCTGATGGGGACAGGTGACGGAGGATCCCAAGTGAGAAGGTGCCAAGACAGGAGGGGACAGGTAATAGGTGGTACCTTAGGTGGGGAGGTGCCGATCCAGGAGAGGACAGGTTGAGGATGAGCCAGCTTTGCCACCCGATAAGGACCAGCAGCAAAGCCCGGCCTCTTCTGGACAGAGGTCCCACTGTCCTGAGCAGCCGTCGAGGATAGGCCCTGCATGGGACACTGAGGCCAGGGCCAGGGCAGAACGCTTTTCTGTCTCGGGTTCATTTTCCCCATTTCTGAATATGAGTTGAATGCTGCAGTGTCTGCGGTCACTCTGATCTGGCACTCTGTGACCAGTGCATTCCCTGAGCCCCATGAATCCCTGTCCAAGCCACATGGCCCTCAGTTCCCCAAGAGTAGGGAGGAAGATGGGCTCATTTGCTGAAAGGCTCATTTACACCTCCTGCTGGCCTGGTGGACACTGGCAGCCCTCAAGGACCCAAGGGCCATGGACCCCAGGGAGAAACACCCAGCCCAGAGGGGCCCATCCTCCCTCCCTCCGAGCTCTCACGCAGGATTCTGCCCTGGGCAGGGGACTCCACCCAGCCTGGAGGCTCCAGAGGTCAACACAGATCCCACTCCTACTCAGAGTGGGCTCAGGGTTGAGCAGATGCTATGGCCTCTGAGGCTGGACATGCACTGGGCTCTGGACAAGGACTGGACTCCAACCTGAGGACTGGACTCCGACTACAGAGCCTTGGAGCCTCAGTTTCCCTATCTACGAAACAGTCATGTCATTCCACCATCTCAGCTGCATGTGACCATCCTGGAGGACCCAGCCCAGAACAGACAGAAGAGAGGGGACCCCATGGGCACACAGAGCAGATGCCCAACCTCCCAGGCCCTCCATGGACATGAGGTCTGCTGGGGTGGGGTCTCCAGCTGTGACCCAAAGTCTGTGTCACTGTTGAGGTCCTCATGTTCCTACTCCCTGCACCTGGCATCTGTAGGGACACGTATCCACACCCCAAACATCCCTGACACCCCACTCAATGTCGTTAGCTTTCAGCCAAGTCATCACGTGACTGTGGGAGCCCCATGTGCTGGAAGCACAGTGGCCGCACACGGAACGGGTCCCTGTGACAGCCCTGCCTGCCCCACCCCACCGCCTGTATCGATGAGAACAAAATCCCCGTAACTGTCAATAAAGGAGACCGCAGGCCCCTGGACTTGAACTTTTGTGTTGAGGGGCTGCATGTGCCCACCTGTTCGTCAGCTCACTCATTCATTCATTCATTCATTCATTCAGGCATAGTAGCCAGCACTGCACTGGGCCTGAGGTTTGGTCACGACTCCCAAAGTTGGGGGGCGGGGACCCCTCTGCTCATGTCCTGTCCACCCACCCTGGTCTTCAAAGAGGACAAAGGCCCATGGTGGCTCTGGGGGCCCTCAGGGCAGGGCCTGGTGATGGTCGAGATACTGTGAAGGTGAGTCCCAGCCAATCCCTGAGACTCAGTGTCCTGATCTGTGAACTGGGCACCAAGGCTGCTCAGTAAGGGGAGACAGGGTCCCATGGTCGTTCAGCTCCGACTTCCATGGTCCCCAGTCAGCTCAGGAGGCCTGTAGCCCCATCAAGATCCACAGTGGCCCCGTGGAGGCCCACAGTGGCCCGGCTACTGGTCCTGTGGCCCTAGCTTGTGCCCAGCCCATGAAGGCCACAGAGGAGCCAGAAGGCACCCTGGCAGGACCCTGTCCCCAGGGCGTCTGCACCCCAACTGCAGAGTTGACTGGGGAGATGGGTAGGAAGGAACAGCCCTGGAGTCCAGACCAGTGAGGGAGCTTAAAAAATGCAGATTCCCAGCACCCGCCATGTCAGGCACTCCCCACTGGGGCTGGGGCCCTCACGCAATGCCTGGTTGGTGGCTCTGGCTCCTTCTGGTGGCTCCTTGAAGGCCTGTGAAAGGCGAGTCTCTGGAAGCCCTGGGATCCATTTCTCACCAGCCTCCGGACTCACCCTTGGAGGTCAGGATTAGGCACACTTGCTTAGGCCAGAACAGTCCAGGAAGGCTGACTGGAGGTGGAGGCCAGTGGGAGACAGAGCCTGCAGGAGTGAGGGGCTCCCCGGACATGAGGGGCTCAGAGCAGTAGGGGACTTGGAGACAGGTTGGAGCTTGAGGGCCTCGAGGGCTGGTGGAAGGAATGAGTGCAGGTGGCAGAGGGGTGGGGGCTTGAGGCCCTGTGTTCAGGAACCTACTCTGGCCCCGGGGTACTTGTGGCAGGGATCACTCTTGAAGGGGGTCCCCTTCACCCCCCATGGCAACAGCCATCCATGGCATGCTTGGACTTTTCTGTGCTGTTTCTGTGCGTGGGGATCTCGGGGCCCCTTCCCTAGGGCCGGGAGGGGATGGGTGAGTATGAGGGAGACAAGCCTTGAACCCAACCTAGTGGGGTCCTGCCATGCTCCACCAGCTCCCATCAGCCTGTCCTCACTCGTGCTCAAGTGTTCATGACTACTGCATCTCCTGGTGACAGACAACCCCACACCTTAGCCAAAGGACACACCCACCTCGGTGGAGGAGGCCTGACCAAAAGAGGCCACAGGGTCTCTGGGGAGGCCCCTTCTAGCCTGACAGACTCATCTCTTTCTGAGTCATAATAGTGCCTCGACAGAGGTAGCCCCAAGGCTAGGAGCAGGAGGCTGATGGAGTGAGGAGGTCAAGGGAGTGGGGGGCTGAGGGAGTGAGGACAGCCTCCGGTGCCACCCTCCAGGCTGTGCACTGCAGCCCAGAGCTCCTCCCCACCACCCTTCCCCTTCTCCTCACCGCTCCTCCACACTCTTCACCCACCTGCCCTACACCCACAACCCCCACCCTTCCCCACCACCTCTGTCCACCTGCAGCCGCTGTCGCCCCTCTCCTGGCCTCCCTGTCTGCTGTCTCCTGCCCTCCCAC